GGAGGTAGTTCTAAGAGTTGATAAATAAATCGGCAATTGAACTAACGAAGAATCTCGTTTTTCATGGATGGAGTAAACACATTCACACGAGGTTTCACTTCATTCGTAATTGTGTTAAAAATGAACAAGTGGGGATGGAGTACATTCCCGGTGAAGAACAAAAGGCGGAAATTCTTACTAAACCACTAGCTCGAACCAAGTTCAAGGAAATGCGGAGCTTGATTGGGATCGAAGCAGCCCCGACCCCATACATGGGCGAATTGGGCTTAGGCCCAGGGCAACAACATTTGAAGGGCATAAAATCAGTTCAGCATTCTATAGTATATATAGTTGTAGCCCAAAATTGTTGGCCCAATGTAATACTATGATTTGTTTCGGACATGAGAAAGTGAGAAAATGGCGTCAAGCCAATCAACTAGTGATGGGTATTAATCCATTCATCAATTGCGCATAGAAAAATGAAACGTCCATTGGCGCCTTGAAACACGTTGTAGTGATGCTATTGATTGGAGAAATCGATGCATCGATGCTTATAATCTGTTGCTCATAAGATCTGATAAATAAAAAGTAAGCGATAACTAATTTATGATTTTTCTGATTCTCTCTAAATCCATATTCTGCTTTGAGTGCTTTCGATTTCTTAGTTATCAGTCGATTACGTACCTGATTTCTCTAATTTTTGGTTTCTAAATCCTCTAGTTTCTATGTTTTTCAAGTTTTGATTTGTGATTCTCTAATCTTGTCATATGGTTCAGTTGTAGCCTTCTAGGTTAGGAGATATACAGTCTGAATCCGAGATTTGTGTTTTATTTCTATTATTCTAATTTCTTTTCTTTGTTCTCGTTCTAAGTTCTAGTTTCTGATTTATGTTCATGTTTAGTGTAATTTCCGATTTATGGTAATTGACTATTTTTGTTATTGTTTCAGAAATTGGAGCGTTTCTTGTTGGTGTTGCAACACATTTCTGTTCGAAATCTATTTTTTAGGTTTGAATTTTTATTTAGCTTTGATTCTTTTTAGAAATATGACTTTTTGTGGTTCCTTTTTAAACTTTTGTGTTATGTTTCTATTGAACTCCATTATTTTGACTATTTTGACTTCTAGAGGCAACATAAGTGGAGATATTTCATTCTTGCTATTAGATAGTAGTTTTGAAAAATGGAGTAAATTACATGAAGGTCCTTATGGTTTAGGGTAATTTGCGCGTTTGGTCCCTAACTTATTTTTTTTAACTCGGAAGGTCCCTATTGTTTGTTTTTGTTACGCGCTTGGTCCCTATTTTTATCTAAAAAGACTATTTTGCCCGTGATTTTTTAATTTATTTAAATAAACACACCCTTAACCCCACTCTCCTCACCTTACCTTACCTACCTCACCGTTTTTTCCTATTTAATAATAGTCTTTTTAGGTTAGACAGGGACTAAGCACGTAACAAAAACAAACAGTAGGGACCAAGCGCAGAACAAAAACAAATAGTAGGGACCTTCCGAGTTAAAAAAAATAAGTTAGGGACCAAGTGTGCAAATTACCCCAAATCATAGGGACCATTCGTGTAATTTACTCTGAAAAATGATTGTATTATGCATTTTCCAGATCACTTGACAATTGGAATCTTGAAAGTGGAAACAAAGACATAAACATTGGTTAGGATAGAAAACAAAAAGAACAAGAAGAGGCTAATCGTCTAAAAGTGACGTTGAATAAATATTTTGTTAGAAAAATGTTGTTTAAATCTTGAGTCTAACTTGACAAATGGTGAAGAATCTCATATTGATGGAATATGTTTATTTATTGAGTTACAAATTTTTGCAGAAATGTTGCCTGATGAAGCTAACAAAGGTGAAAGTTCTTGGACATCTATTCAAATAATGGAGTATGCAAGAAGCATTGAGTGATTTTAAGTATCGAAAGTGTTTTTTCGTAAGATATTTATTATTGTAAAATAAACGATGTTTTTTCTTGAAAAAATGTAGGAAGGCATTGTTTTAGGCGATTTTCAGATTTTGTAGGTTTTGTTTGTATTACTTGTTTGATTATAAAAGGTGGTGCATTTTTATCGTATATTTTTTTATATAGGTCATGCAATACATATATAAGGGCATAAAGTTCTTATCTCGCCCCGAGTATTAAAATACAATGGACCGCCCTTGGATCGAAGACATCTCTAAAAGAACTTAGAGATTTGGGGGTGATTGTTGGAATCCTAAGTTGTGGATACCAAATACTTGGAGAACAAGCAACCTAGTTTATGGCAAGTCGGTCAATAGCTTGTTTCCTAATTCTAAGTTACAAGTCGGTAATTAGGATTATATATACATTGTCAAGAATCGAGTTATGATCAATAGAGAGACATTGTAAACACTGTGAGTTTTGAGTAATTTTCTCATAATAATCAAAGAGCTATTTTGGTTAATTTAATTGTGTTTACATATTCTAATCTTGAATTATCGAGTACTCTATCTAAGTAACACCATCACCTTTATTATTTTTTTTCATGGATGTTGACAAGTGACAATTGGAGTTCTAGTTGTACTAAAATCACTTATGTTAAATTTCTCAATAATATTGCTCACATAATGGGTTTGACTAAACATAACTCTATTTTGGGTTTGTGTGATCTTGACTCCAAAAATCACTTATACTTGATCCAATATCTTTCATATAAAACCTGCTTTTCGACATATCTCTGGTTGGTTTTATCATCTTTTCATTGCTTCTAATGATAAGCATCTCATATACATATAAACATAGTATTACATACTAGACATGTCTTTTACATCAACACAATTCTCACATTCGTTGATTTTGAAACCATAATCTAGCATGACATTGTCAAACTTTTGATTCCATTGTTTTAGTTGTTGATTTAATCCATGCAATGAATTAACAAGTTTTCAAACTTTCTTCTTTTCCTAGGGCAGTAAAACCCCCATGTTGCTCTATGTAAATCTCTTCTTCTAAGTCATTGTTTAGAAAATCTGTTTTAACATCCAGTTGGTGCACTTCCAAATTTATTAAGGTCACAATGACAAGTAACATCCTAATAGAGGTTAATAGTGTCACTGGAGAATAAGTATCAAAACAATACAAACCTTCCCATTGTTTATAACCTTTTATCACTAATCTTGGTTTATATTTATCGATGGTGTCATCTTATTGAAGATCCATCGATAGCTTGGTGGTTTATTACCCGGAGGAAGATCTATTAGCTCAAAAGTGTGGTTTTTCACGATATATTTTATCTCACTCTTAATGGATTCTTTCCATTAGGTTCATTATGAAAAAGCAATTGCCTCTCAATAGGTTTTAGTTATAAGTAAGACAGAAATAGGTTACACAGATGCGAGCTTTCTGACCGGAACATCTTCAAGTCCTAATTAGGTTTTGCATTTTGTATTAATGGAGTTGCTATTAGACGGAAGACTTTAAAGAAAAGCAGGGTTCTCAATATAACTACAAAAGTTAAGTACATATCGTCATATGTTACAACCAAGGAAGTTGCTTGAATCAAGAAGTTAATTGCAAAGTTGAGAGACATTGCCAATGTCTCGAATCTTATTGAAATGTATTATGATGGTACTACTATGATTTCTCATGTAAAGTAATCGTTGTCATACAAAGACTAAAAAAATGCTCGAAAATACCATTTCATTAATGAGATTATTGATAGTGATGTCAATATATGCAAAGTCCCTATCGAGGATAACATTGTTGACCCATTGGTTAAGCCATTCTCTTGGGTTTTTTAGGAGGGTCACATGCGTAGTATACGAATGAGATTTCTAGCATAGTGGAACTATTACAAACTAATTAAGAGGTGATTGCAGCATCGAACATTATAAATATATTTTGATTCAATTGTTAAGTGCAAGTTCTACTTTTGTTACATACTCTTTTGGCATGTTTGGGTATCCAGGAACCGCTGTGATAGTTGGAATCTTCCATAGCCATTGCTTTTCATGGGAATCATGGATAAATTAAGGGTATTTACAAGGATCGGTTTATGTACTTGTGGTGAATATAGGAAATGGTTATACTATATTCACACTATTTGTTAGGTGTAAATGTTAGATTGACCTACTCATGAATTTACTCTATGGATTAGCATCATAAGTGTCATCAACCAATTTCTCTATGGTGTCCTTAAACGAGAAATGCTTATGACCTCAACCTATAAATGTTGTGCTTTAAAATATTCTAAAACCACCTTTAACAATGTGGTTATACAAGTTATTGCCATTGTTAGGGGCGATAAGACGCATGTGACAAGATGTAAGTAAGTTTAGATTGGATTTGTCCCATCGCATAAGATGTCTCTAGGCCCTCTCATTTTTGAAATTGAACAAACACATAGCTATGCTCAAGTATGATGACATTTGTCATTGTGGTTTAATCTGGACCGAGAAACGTAACCTATGATAGAGAAAGGTGATATGATCCATGTCTTATGCTCAACATAAGACATCACACATACAAAGGGAAATATGATAAGCAAGTTTATTTTTACCACAAAGATGTTTAGTGTTGTAATGCCATTGTAAGACTAACATTCATTTGGCTTGGGGAGCAAGGACGCATCCATAGACGCCACACCAAGTTTGTTGGGAGATTCTTGGAACATATGCATACAACATAACAGAATGATGTTACTGCATGCAAACATCATCTCAACTTATTCAGTCGCACACTATGGAAAGTAGTAAACCTTTAGATTAGATTGATCTCAACACCACTATGACACTTATAATTGTTGTGAGGAACAAGTGATCAAAGGTGCATGAACCACTTCCTCTTTACACAACGCACAACAAAGTTTGAGCATACGAGGCCAAAGCCTGTCTGGAACACAGATTGCCTCCTGTATAAGAACGTTTTTGCCTCTATAATCTATATTGGTGTACAAGTTTTGCATAATTTAAAGAGTTTTTTAAACACCAAAAACGTCATAAATCCTCAATAGTTTTCGCTATATTAACAAGAAAACCAAATTCTTAATATTGTTAATAGCTTCGTCCCCAATACGTCCATTTCTTGGCAGGTTTTCCTGACGCAAAGCACAATGTACCTGTCAGAAAAATTAAGTCATATAAATATTCCAAGATAAGACAGACAGGTTGTACTGTGTGTGTTTGATGTGTATTAGACTGAAACTGAAACTGATGTTAATAGGACAAAAAATTGCATAAAAAAGGTGATACAAGGACTCGCTCTCGTCTCTTGTATTTGCAAAAGACGTAGATGCCCTTATCCTCATTATTGAAAATAGCCCTAGAATTTTTTTTTCAAGAAATTGCAATCAAATAATACCTTCGGGCAGCTCGGGCTGCTCAAATGGAGAACAAAGTGTCTTAGCTGCTCCTGTCTCCCCTTTTGTCTTTGTTTTCACATCTTTCTCGACTTCCTGAAACATTATTAGATTTAAAATGTAATCTAATAATTACAACAGTAATAATAATAATAAATAGACATGAACCACCAAGATATTACCGAAATGTTGTCTTTGTGAGTGTAAACCTACTTGGGTGTGAACCTGCCATGAGTAGCTGCACCACCCTCTTTTGTTGACAAATGAATGCCTCCTTTGTTGACAATAACAACTAGAATTGGCAGCTTCTTTATTTCACACGGTGAACACAATAAATTGTCATAGTACTTATAGTGGCTAGCTTTAGTATAAATAGAAGTTGTAATATCAGTTGTAAGACACCACAAAACAGAGAGTGTACTGTGTAATACTTAGAATGAGTATTAGAGGGTTGTTTCTTTTTCTTGTAATATTGAGGGTGTAAGCTCTTCTCTTTTGTTCTAGTTCTGAATAAAAGTGTGTTTCAACCCCAACAAGTGGTATCAGAGCTTGGTTAAGCTCCGGGGGAAGCATTCTTTGTTTTTTGGTCGAAATTTTTTTGTCTCAAAAACAATTTCGGAGTACACCGTTGGAAAGGTCTCGTTCTGAGGATTCCGAAAATATATTTTTTTTAAATTTTTTGACCACCGGAAGACCTCCAAATCACCGGTCAAAGTTGGTCAAATCTGTCGGAAAAGTCGCCGGAAAAACCAGGGTTCGCCGGAGAAGACGACACTGTAGCAGCACTGTCGCAGTGACATCAGCAGTGACGTCAGCAGCTGACCAAAGTTCTGGAAATTGCAGTTTAGCCCCTGTTCTTCCGGAAAGTGCAATTTGGCCCCTGTTTTTCAGAAAAATTACAATTTTGGTCCCGTTTTTCAGAAAAATTTCAATTTAGCCCCTGTTTTACTTCGGTAAAAGTTCTGTTTGCCCCCTGAACTTCTGAAAAGTTCATATTGGTCCCCATACTTCAATAATATATATATATATATATATATATATATATATATATATATATATATATATATATATATATATATATATATATATATATATATATATTCTTACTCGTGTATGCCCAAGTATATGCCAAGAATGACTACACCAACCTCGTCATCTTCTCAAGCCGGAGTTGAAAGTTTTCAAAGGACCGGGAAAGACGGTAGCGTTACGTTACACTATCCAATGCTCACGAAGATGAACTACGCGGTGTGGGCCATGAAAATGCGAGTGAATTTACAAGCACAAGGAGTATGAGATGTAATTAAAAATGCAGAAACGGACGAACGTAAAGATCAGATGGCTCTTGCGGCTATTTATCAAGCAATTCCAGAGGACGTACTTCTGATGTTAGCTGAGAAGGACACAGCTAAAGAAGCATGGGAAACGCTCAAGATGATGCACATGGGAGCCGATCGGGTCAAGGAGGCTAAAGCTCAAATCTTGAGAAGTGACTTCGAGGTGATCCGGATGAAAGACAGTGAATCGGTAGATGATTTTTCCGTGAGATTGAATACTATCGTAACCGGTATTCGATCTCTAGGTGAAAAGATTGAAGAAATTACGGTTGTGAAGAAGTTTTTGCGAGCCGTACCGATACGATTTATACAAATCGTAACATCGATCGAGCAATTCGGAGATTTGAAGAATATGACGGTGGAAGAAGTTGTGGGTCGTCTTAAGACCCATGAAGAGAGACTTTCAAGCTATGGAGAAAAAGAAGAAGGACCTTCTCTATTGCTTACACATGCCGAGTGGGCATCTCGTTCGAAGCAAACTGGCGAGAGAAACTCGTCAAACACTTCAAGAGGACGAGGAGGACATGGTAACCGAGGCCGGGGACGAGGCCGAGGTCGTGGACGTGGCCAAGGAGGTGGACGCGAGTACAATACAAATCGGAATGACCATAATCCTTCTCGAAAGGATAAAAGTAAAATCAAATGCTTTACTTGTGAACAATTTGGTCATTATGCTTCGGAATGTCCAAACAAGAATCGAGGTGAGGAGGCAAACCTCACTCAAGCCAATGAAGAATAGCCTATTTTAATGATGGCAACCTCACAAGAATATGCACACAAAAAAGTGTCTCTAAGAGAGAAGATTTGTGTTAATCTTCTTGCATCGGGAGAAAGTCGAGTCGAGTCTGAGGTATGGTATCTCGACAACGGTGCTAGCAATCACATGACTGGAGACCGCTCAAAGTTTCGCGAACTAGATGAGCACGTTACGGGCCATGTGAAATTTGGGGATGGTTCGACCGTCGCTATTTTGGGAAAAGGGTCGATTTTATTCGATAGCAAAAATGGCGACCAAAGACTCCTTAATGAGGTATATTTCATTCCAAGTCTAAAAAACAATATTATTAGTCTTGGACAAATGACAGAGGAAGGGAGTCGGGTCATAATGGATGGGTTGGATCTGACATTGTTTGACAGAAACAAAAGTCTACTTTTGAGAGTTAAACGATCCCCAAACCGGTTATATAAAACTCCTTTAAGGACCGGTAGACCGACTTGTCTTTTAGCAACAAAAGACGAACCAGCTTGGATATGGCATTCTAGACTCGGTCATGTTAACTTTCTCGCCTTAAAGAAGTTGTCCGAAAAGAATATGACAATCGGAGTCCCAAAGATCGAGCACCCAAACCAAGTATGTGAAGGGTGCGTTCTTTCCAAACAAACCCGAATTCCTTTCCCGGATCATGCAGTTTTTTGAGCTCAAAAACCTCTACAACTTGTTCATGCGGACTTATGTGGTCCGATCACACCTACGTCTGTTGGAGGGAGTAAATATTTTCTCCTTTTAGTAGACGATTTTAGCCGGTGGATGTGGGTTTACATGCTATCGGAGAAGTCTCAAGCCTTGAGCGCTTTCAAACGGTTCAAGTTGATGGTTGAAAAGAATTCGGGTTATAAAATAAAGACACTTCGAACGGACCGAGGGGGGGAGTTCACTTCAAAAGAATTCTCATTATTTTGTGAAGAAAATGGTATTCAAAGGCATCTTACGACACCATATTCGCCTCAACAGAACGGAGTTGTAGAAAGGCGAAATCGGACCGTTATGGACATGGCAAGAAGTCTGCTCAAAGGTAGAAATGTTCCGGGAGAGTTTTGGGGAGAAGCGGTTAGACATGCAGTTTATCTTCTCAACCGCCTGCCAACAAAAGTACTTCCCGACAAGACGCCTTATGAAACGTGGTTTGGCAAAAAGCCCAACCTTGAACATCTAAAAGTTTTTGGTTGTGTTGCTTTTGCTAAACTTGTAGGTGGTCACTTGAAGAAGCTTGATGATCGAAGTAAGAAGATGGTGTATTTAGGTGTGGAAGATGGAACTAAAGGCAACCGTTTGTTTGATCCGCAAGACCGAAAGTTGCGAGTTAGTCGCGATGTTGTTTTTGACGAAAAAGAAGAATGGAATTGGTACAAAAACAAAGAAGAAGAGATGGCGACTCCTAAGACCTTTAACATAATTGAACCACAACCCCAAATACACCTCGAAACACCTCAAAATGACCCTGAAATCAATCTGGAACAACCAAACAGTCCAGGAATCGATGCTATCCAAGTTGGACAACCATATGCTGAATTTGACGAGCCTGAATCAGCCCCACAAACTCCTGTCTCAGCCCCGTTTTCTTCAACATCACCCCATATGGAAAGCCCTTCTAGTGAGATTGAGCCAAGGGGATTACTTTCTTACTACCTTGGAATCGAAGTTTCGCAAAAGAAGTGGGGAATATCTTTGCGACAAACGGCTTATGCAAAGAAGATTTTAGAGCAATTTGGGTTGCTGGATTGCAATCCGACAACGTCACCAATGGAACCTAAGTTGAAGGTTAAGAAGGATGAAGATGGTGAAAAAGTTGATCCAACTGAATATAGGCGAGTGGTAGGTTGTTTGAGGTACTTGACTCACACTCGACCAGACCTGTCATTTTCGGTTGGAATTGCAAGTTGTTTCATGGAGGAACCAACCACTTTGCATTTCCAAGTTGTGAAACACATCTTGCGATACGTAAAAGGAACTGTTGATTATGGAATCAACTATGGAAGAGGTCGTGAAATTGAAGATTTGGTTGGTTTTACCGATCGTGATCTTGGAGGTGACCCTGTTGATAGCAAGAGCACAAGTGGAATGATTTTCTATCTGGGAAGGAATGCGATAACTTGGCAATCCCAAAAGCAAAAGACTGTTGCTTTGTCCACGTGTGAAGCCGAGTTCATGGCAGCTACAACAGCAGCATGTCAAGCCATTTGGCTTGCTAATCTCGTGAAGGAGCTCATGGGACATCATATTATGCCTATCACCTTATATGTCGATAACAAGTCAGCAATCGCATTGATGAAAAATCCTGTGTTTCATGGTCGAAGCAAACACATTGACATTCGTTATCACTTCATACGAGAATGTGTTGAACGTGGGCAAATTATAGTGGAATATGTCAACTCGAAGGATCAACGGGCGGACATCTTTACAAAGGCTTTAGCATACGTGAAACATGGTGAAATGCGAAACATGATCGGAGTGACGAATCTCGAACCAAGTTAGGTTTAAGGGGGAGAATATGAGTGTAAACCTACTTGGGTGTGAACCTGCCATGAGTAGCTGCACCACCCTCTTTTGTTGACAAATGAATGCCTCCTTTGTTGACAATAACAACTAGAATTGGCAGCTTCTTTATTTCACACGGTGAACACAATAAATTGTCACAGTACTTATAGTGGCTAGCTTTAGTATAAATAGAAGTTGTAATATCAGTTGTAACACACCACAAAACAGAGAGTGTACTGTGTAATACTTAGAATGAGTATTAGAGGGTTGTTTCTTTTTCTTGTAATATTGAGCGTGTAAGCTCTTCTCTTTTGTTCTAGTTCTGAATAAAAATGTGTTTCAACCCCAACAGTCTTTTTGTCTTTTTCTACACATCACAAATATTGTTTCAAATTTTGTAGTTTTTCTGTGACACCTCTACATGGCTAAGGTAAGCAACTGGAATGTTTTGTTCACTAAATACCCTGAAAATAAATATAAACTGGTTACCTCTTCATCACACCATGGAGCCAAAATCAATTTCTTTTGGGCTAATGCAACAATAAACTCATCCCAAGTTTTTATAACTTGAACACAAGCATCTCGTTTTTGCTTAGCGACTTCAAACATGTTTTGTTGAACATCATCCAACAAATCCTTTACTTTATCAACCAAATCAGCCATTGGAATATCAATTTTTTCTCCATTGTCACGACGAGCCACACACACCTGAAAAGTGAAAACAAATTAAACACATTATTTTATTGTAATTAGTGCAACTTTTTATTTACAAAAGTTATAAAAAGCTAATTAAAACTCGGATAATGTATTTTCTAGATATAATGAAAATAAAAAATTAAACACTTTAGTCCTGTTCGGTTGGATGGAATGAAACAACAAAAGAATGAAATGACTTTTCATTATGAAGTTTCTATATAATATGCATAGTTTTAATTCTACTGCGTACATTATTTAATTATATTTAATGAACTTTATTTACAAAAATTAAACATAAAATAACTGCAAGAAATAGCAACATACCTACATACTGTAACTGATATGTTTATTATAGTAGAACTTTCAAAATATAATATAGGAAACTCTAATTGAATAGTTTTTTTAAAAGTACAATGCCTTAATAGAAAAAAGAATACGAGTACGATGCTATACTACACAAATAAATGAAATCATAAAATTTTAAAATATGATTTGTATCATTGAAAATTTGTGTTAATACCTGGTTTTTAGCAATGTCCCTGGGCCCAATTTCAATCCTCAAAGGAACACCTTTCATTTCCCAATGAGCATACTTCCAACCTGGTTTATAATTCTCCCTTAAGTCAGCTTCAGCACGAATTCCTACATCACATAAAGCTTTCACGGTCTCCAAACTTGCATTCACCAATGCATCAACATCCGCATCACTGTAAGGCAAATGAATCACAATCACTTGTACTCCTGCAACTTTAGGAGGCAACACCAAGCCTTTATCATCACCATGAACCATCACCATCACCCCTATCTGTAAAAAAAAAAAAATTAAAAATCTTAAATACAAAGCAATTTTCGATGGTATAACAAGAAAAGAGACTGAAAGTAAAAAAAAAAAAATTACTGTTCGAGTACTGTATGCCCAAGAATTCTGCCAAACCATGGCCTTTTCTCCCTTTTCATCTTCGAATTTTATTTCAAACATTTTTGCAAAATTCTGGCCTAAGCAGTGGGAAGTCGCACCTTGTACACCACGCCCACTATTTGGAATAAACGCCTGTTCACATTATATAAAATTATAAATAATGTAATCAGTTGTATATAATGACTTGACAGGGGCAAAAACGTCATTTAACATTTTCAAAAAGTATTGTCGGTAAGTAAGAACCTCAACACTGGTGGTATAAAGTCCACCGGCAAACTTTTCCATCTCACTTTTTTTCCCTTTCACCACAGGCACAGCCAAGTACTCTTCATATAGTCGTTTATACAGTTCAAGAATTTCAAAAACCTAAAAATAAATACATCATTAAACTATTTTATCAATCAACAAGTATACTGATATTGATACGATAGTTTATTATATAGTAACCTAATTTACCAATATCAGTGTATAATAATAGTATAATACACTAAAGCACAACGTACTTTCACCAGTTTATGGATATAAACAACTAGATTATTTATAATATAGTTTACTATTGCTATCGTGATTTTAACCACTGGTTAAAATCACGATAGCAATATAAAAATACAATAAAGCACAACATAGATAGTTTTTAATTCCTTAAATTTATAATTATACCTCAGTGTCTGCCTCCTCCTTTGTTGCAAAGGCAGTGTGCCCTTCTTGCCAAAGAAACTCACGGCTCCTAGAATAACAACAGAAAGTTTATTATCATTTTCAAGAAATGGAAAATCAAGATCAAAATAAAAAAAAATCATGTAATGTGATGAATTGTGAATAAGAAAGCTACCTGATGAATGGAGTAGGATTACTAAACTCCCATCGAACAACATTACACCATTGGTTAAGTTTCAATGGCAAGTCACGGTGTCCCTGATCCATTTTGAGAAATACGGATACATCACTGTTTCACCTGTTGGTCTAATTGCAATTGGAATTTCCAATTCAGACTCCCCTGATCTTGTCACCCATGCAACCTGAAAGCAAAATAAGGAGGGCATTCATGTCTTTTTGGCAAAAGAAAATGAAAACGAGATTATAGTGTTTATGGAGATAGTGAGATACGATATATATATATATATATATATATATATATATATATATATATATATACCTCAGGAGCAAAACCCTCTATGTGATCCTTCTCTTTTTGTAGAACGTTGTTGGATACAAAAAGTGGGAAGTAGCAAGTTTTAATTTTCATCTTCTTGATTTCTGCATCAAAGTATGTCTGCAATGAATAAAGATGTATTCAATCAACATCAGAACTAAAACTGCATTATTAAATTAACAAATAGTTATGCTTACTTGCATTATCTCCCAAATAGACATTGCCCATGGTCGGAGGATATAACAGCCAGATATATTATAATATTCTACCATTTCACCATTTGTAACAACCTACACGACCCAATTACCCAAAAAAGATTTTTTTAAAAAAAAAGTTAAAAGAAATATAGGAATCATGTCAATAATTAGAAAACAATAGGAATGTCATGTAATTAAACCTCAGAATACCATTCACCAAAGTTGCCATCTTTAGTATTAGTAAGACCTAGACCAGTCTCCTTCTTCCTTCCCTCTGCAATCACAAATTTAATTTATCGCAAAATTAGATAGGGAATATAACAAATTTACATTCAAGAATCTACATGTTAATTTAATTATGTGAAATACATTAATTATAAGGAATATTTCTCAGGGATATATACAGTAAAGTCCCAATATTTTCATCGATTTGACAAGAAAGTCCTAAACTTTATTTTTTTGACAGTAAAGTCCAAATTACCGGCAGTTTTTGACACTTTTACCCTTTTTCCCGGTTAGCCGGTAATTAGGACTTTTTTGTCAAAAAAATAAAGTTTAGGACTTTCTTGTCAAATCGTCAATTAGGACTTTATTGTCAAAAAAATAAAGTTTAGGACTTTCTTGTCAAATCGTTGAAAATATTAGAACTTTAGTGTATATCTCATTTTTTTGTTAGAAATTTAATAGTATGATACTCTTTAAGCATAAAAGTTATTAAAACATTCTCTAGTCAGCTAGATCCTATTGAAATCCTTAACATTTGCTTCTTGTTAAATCGTTTTTTTAATCTCAACAAACCGACATTGAAAAAAATGGAGATAATCAAGAAAGAAAGAAAGAACCAGGGTTGTGTTGGCTTTTTGCAGTCCCAAAAATGGAGAAATAAGAAACCGAAAAAAACGAAATTGCCCTAGCTTTATACAAACACAAACAACACATGCCTAGTCAAAAGGGTGTGAATGTGGAGAAGGGAAAGAAGGGCAATTTCGTTTTTTTCGGTTTTTTATTTCTCCATTTTTGGGACTGCAAAAAGCCAAACAACCCTGGTTCTTTCTTTCTTTCTTTCTTGATTATCTCAATTTTTTTCAATGTCGGTTTGTTGAGATTAAAAAAACGATTTAACAAGAAGCAAACGTTAAGGATTTCAATAGGATCTAGCTGATTAGAGAAGGTTTCAATAACTCTTATGCTTAAAGAGTATCATACCATTAAATTTCTAACCAAAAAAAATTATATATACACTAAAGTCCAAATATTTTTAACGATTTGACAGGGAAGTCCTAAACTTTATTTTTTTGACAGTAAAGTTCTAATTGACGATTTGACAAGAAAGTCCTAAACTTTATTTTTTTTTGACAAAAAAGTCCTAATTACCGACTAATCGGGAAAAAAGGGTAAAAGGGTCAAAAACTGCCGGTAATTTGGACTTTACTGTCAAAAAAATAAAGTTTAGGACTTTCTTGTCAAATCGATGAAAATATTGGGACTTTACTGTATATATCCCATATTTCTCATTGAAAAATATATAATGCGTTAATTATAGAGAATATTCATTATAATTAATATATTTCATATTTAATTATGGTAATATTTCTCATAATGAATGCTTATTACAAAATCCCATATTTAAATAAGCAAAAGACATTGTCTTTCAGTTTTTTCTTAAAATTTTGATGATTTGACATCAATATTGAAGTCAAAAATTAAATCATTTGATTTTTCATCCATCTGTAATTTATAACTTTACACATATTTTTTAACACAAGCAACAGAGTTTAGTGTATGCCATCGATTAACATCCACTTTCTATAATGAGCGTATGCAACAAAAAAACTGTCAAGTTTAACTCATAAATCAAGTTTTCAACAGAATTTTATGAAAACATCTCTTTTCTTAGCCAATTAAGACAGATTTTAGTAAAAACACTCACTGCTAGGGTTTGCAGCTGCATTAGATTTGTTGGCATTAACAGGCTTGTTTCCTTTACCACCAGCCATGTCTTTTAACTTTCAGCTGAAAGAAAATTTTAAACATTTAGAAACCAATAACAAAGAGTAAACTGAGAGAACAACAATCAGATAACTATAGGAACTAAGTAAGAACAAGCCTGATTTCTAGCAGATGCAGAATGGCGTTAAGTTCATGGGGCGTTTACTATACAAGCCTGATTCCAAAATCCAACTTGACACAGTGATATTTTAAAAAATTAAGCCAAATAGATAATCTAATAATTAGATATTCAGTTAATGGAAGGTCCAGAATGAAAACTGATATGCATATAACATATCAAACATAAGTCAATAAGTGATAAGCCTAATAAACTAATCTGTCTAATAAAAAAAAAGAATCAACAATGGAGTTATCAGTCATGGAGAATCTGAGGAAGAAGTCAAGAACAACATACCGTTTCAGCCTTTTAGGATTCAGGAATCAACTCTTAACACTTGAGAGCCTTTCAGTTTTAACTTTTGATTTTTGAACAAAAAAGAGTCGATTAGAGTCAGGAAGAACAAAATCGAGAATCAACTAAGGAAGATCAGAAGAAGAACAGAGAACAAATTAGTAATGGTTTCTGCGGTTCTACTCAGAATGAAGAATCGTAGAGCAGAGAATGAAAAGGAATCAAGGAACTCATGAAGATGGGAAGAAGAACAGTCTTTGGCTGATGAAATTTGTGGCGTGCGCAAATGCATTCCCTAATCGAGATTTGGGTTAAGTGGGGCCCTTAAAATTGGGGCCCTAAGCCTTGCTTATTTTTTCTTAACGTAAGGTCGGCCCGGAAGCCGTTAACAAACCAGAAGAAGCAGGAACGCCCAAATACTTGTTGCTGTTTTCCGGTCAACCTCCGGCGAAGCAGCAATTTTGGATAGAGGGAAACGAAAGCTATCGAAACTAATGGAAAGAAGAGGATTTAAAAGGATTAGAAGGAAAAAAGCTTTTTCCCCGGTTCTTATATGGAAGAAAAAGGAGGGAAAAAGGAAAGAAAATATTGCCTTTTCTCCTCTCAAGATCATACGTCTGATTAGGAGTTTTGCACGGGTTGTACTTGTAGTTTTAAAATATATTTATCAGTACATTGTTTTTCCAAAGAAAATTACAGTTTTGGTCCTTGTGGTTTCGTCAAATTCGTATATTCAGTCAAACTTTTAAAAATTTAACAAGATGCATCCCTGTGGTTTAAAGAAATTACACCGCACAAATATATTTTTAATGTTTTTTATATTTTGTTCGTTTATATTTTTTTGACGTTTTATTTGAATAAATTTTCTAGTTTTTTTTTATGTTTTGTTCGAATATATCTTTTAATATTTTTTTGATCTTTTGTTTTTTAATATATTTGTAAAGCTTTTTATAAATATTTTTTATATGAAAAATATAAAAAGGTTAGTTAAATGAGAATATGATTAACACATATTAGGTATAAAATTATTTATTTTAATAGGGTTATTGTATAGGCTAATCGAAATTCAAAATGAGTGTCAATGGCTTCGAGTTCAATTTTTTTAGTTTTAGAAAAAAACAATCATTTCGTTCTGAATGGAAAATGTTAATCAGAATTCATATAACTCAAACACATGTGCTAATGTTTTCGATTTCATTTTTTTTATTTTTAAAAATTTTGTTCGTTTTCCAGTTATATGATTTTCCAATTAGCATTTATATAACTTGAAACCCCTTTTCGAATATCAGTTAGTCTATCTATTAATCTTATTAAAAATATAAATTTATACATAATCTAAATTAATAATATTCACATCTAACGAACTTTTTTTTTTACATTTTTTACAAAAAGTATAAACAAACAAATTGTCAAAAAAAATGTATTCAAACAACACGCAAAAACATTAAAACAATTATTCAAAAGAACATCATAAAAATATAAACGAAAAAAAACTGTAAAAAACATTTTTTGGTATGTTGTTTGAATATATTGTTTAATGTTTTTTATATTTTTTCGTTTATATTTTTATGATGTTTTTCTGAATATTTTTTTTTTTTTTTTTTGGCGTATTGTTTGAATATATTTTTATAACGTTTTGTTTGTTTATACTTTTAGTAAAAAATGTAAAAAAAAAGTTCGTTAAATGTGAATATTATTAACTTTGATTAGGTATAAAATTATGTTTTTAATAAGATTAATAGATAGACTAACTGAAATACGAAAAATGGTTTCAACTTATATAAAAGCTAATTGAAAAACCATATAACTCGAAAACGAACAAAATATCTAAAAAAAATGAACTCGAAAACATTGACACATGTGTTTGAGTTATATGAATTCTGATTAGAATTTTCCCTTCGGAAATAAATCTAAAAAAAATATAAAACTAAAAAAATTGAATTCGAAGCCATTGACACTCGTTTTAATTAGCCAATACAATAACCCTATTAAAATAAATAATTATATACCTAATATGTGTTAATCATATTCTCATTTAACTAAACTTTTTATATTTTTGATACACAAAATACTTATAAAAAGCTTTAATATTATATAAAAAACAAAAAATAAAAAAAATTAAAATATATATATTCAAACAAAACATAAAAAAAAAAAAAAAAAAAAAACCTAGAAAAATTATCCAAATAAAACGTCGAAAAAATATAAATGAACAAAATATAAAAAACTTTAAAAATATATTCGAATAAAATTTTAAAAATATATATATAAATCATAAAAAATATAAATAATATAAAATATAAGCGGCAAATATATAAAAAAATTAAACAATTATATATATATATATATATATATATATATATATATATATATATATATATATATATATATATATATATATATATATATATATTATATATATATAAAGAGAGAGAGAGAGAGAGAGTTAGGTTCAAATGTTTCCAACAACGATTGTATGCATCTAAGAACCAATCAGAATTAAGAAAAAATAAAATCATTAATAAATCATAAAAGGGTATAATAGTAATTTATGCACTTGCTTATATGGAAATTCCTAAGATATTTGACCAATTCTCCTTAAATCACGTCATTCTACATCTCAAAAACCCTGCTTTATGAACCGATCGCGTCTGCAAGGATTTCTCCCATTCCCACATCGCCGAACCATGTTTCGAAAATCAAGAAGCAAGGAGATGCTTAATATATCTTCTTCATGTTTCTCTACACCCACCACCATCATCGACTCTCTCTGCTATGAGAACACGTATTATTAAAAGTTGCAATAAAAGCCGCACTATAAAAGCTTCAGAATCGAATGAAGGTAAGCATCGCACATTTGAACAAAATTGTTTTTTCTTTTGATTCGACAAGAAACATAAAAAATGTATAAATGTTTTTTCTTTCTTGCTTTAACTGTACTGTATGAGACAACATTTTACGAAATCGGTGGTTTATTCATTGGTTATGTTCTCACTTTTACTTTCGCACACCAAGTGGTTGATGAATTGTTTGACCCAACCAACATTGCAAATAAAATGTTTTATGATCATATTTTATTGCCCTAATTATTTTGTTAGAATTACAACTTGCTAATTTACTATGTTGTATGTATTATGCCACCTACTCCTTCCCCTTCGTCTACCATCAATCACGACAGTAGTAGTATCAGGTAGGTTTTTTCCTACTTTTTTTTTACAAAAATTGTGTTTTGTTTTCTCCCTTTCCCATGATTTCATGAATTTTTCTCATGCTTTCGGTGCAATTTATGGTGTTTGTGAAGGTGTTTGGTGTTTAATACAACTTGTTGAAGGTGGTTGGCATTATATTTCAAGGTAAAGCTATGACAATTGGATTAGCACAGAAGGTGTTCGATAGAATGCATAAGAGATGTTTCAAGCCAAATTCTCGATAATTGACTAATTCCGTATTTAAAACATACTTTTTAGTAATTTTTACAATCAGCATGCTTGTGAAATATTTGACTAGTTGTGTCTGTGGTAAGGGTAAAATTTCCAAGCAAATATTACTAACACACCCATGTATTCTACTATATTCTATGTATTCTACCAGAATATATATCAAGATTTTAAAAAACTATGCATTATTAAACTTGTAATTCTCAGTAGGATACTATTAGTGTTTTTTTTACTTTTTCTCTCTTGCAATGTATAAAAAAACCCAATTGGTGTTGTTTTTTAGAATAAATTAGTCTATTATGATGTGAAAGTTGAGTATGAGGTGTGAATGGATTTGTGTGTATTCTGTCAGAATTTATTTATATAAATCCATTCTTTTAGAATGTTTGTATTCTAGCATAATGTATTTTATGTATTCTGCCAAAATTCATAAAACAAATCTTATCAATAATATTATTTTAGAATGGATTAGTGTTTTTGTTAGATTTTAATGGCTTTTTTTTCTTTTTAGGTTTCAAGAGTTTGTCATTCATGTAGAAAAAAAAGAAAATATGGAGAACAAGAGTGTCTTATAGTAGAATGTATTCCGCCAGAATGTATAAAATGAATCTTAGCAACTTTATTCTTTCATAATGAATTGGTGTTTTTTGTTGAATTTTGATGTTTTTGTTGCTTTTGTGATAGGAATGGCTTGAAGACCTTATAGGAATGATGTGAAGAATTAATCAAAAATTGATCATACTCACAGTTTAAGAATGTTGTTGTTTTTTAAGAATTACACTTGTTATTCTTTCAGAATGTTGTTATTATTCAAGAATGTTCTTTTTGTATCACAATCATAGAATATAATTATTTGATATATTATTAGTTCAAGAATCGATTTTGTATATTGTTTCATAATGTACTTATTCATGTTTTCTTCTTATTTATGTATTCTTAAAGGATGTCATAAATTGTTATTCTAACAGAATTTCATTCTAATATAATCGCATTCTGACAGAATAAAATAAGTTATAATCGGTTATGATTACAAATTAAATTTGAATTGAAATTGAATTATTTTTTTAAATTAGAATTATCTATTCAAATTCGAAAATTTCTTTTTTTAAATATAGTTAATTGTCTAAAATACCCTTTTAATTAAATTTGAGTGATATTA